AATAAAGTCTAATGGATTTCAAGAAAAGAAAGCGTCAGTAAACGACTAAGGAAAAGCTTGTTGATTACACGAAAACAATATGGCGTCGCTTGTCGATCGATGTTTCGCGCATAAGGTATTTTGTATTTTTCTCGAACTTTGGCAAGTTAAAAAATGATAAAGAATGATAAAGCTACCCAAAGCACACAGTTTATAGATTAGAGTATGGGGAAATAAGATCATCCGAGTCATAAGTTGGTAGAAACGGACTTGATATGGCAGCTAATGAGTGAACACTGCCCTTGGTCGCGTTTAGATCTCCAYTTTCGCTGATCGTATCGTGAAATGATCGCTCCAAATATGCTTCAAAATCATTTACAAATGTTTTTCAAGAGGCTATGTTTCTTTTTAACAAGTCTCMTCGAAGTTTTGTTTTGGTAATTTCCAATTGTAGCGAAAGGACTTCATGATGGTAGCGAAAAGACTCCGGGTGGTAGCGAACCGACGGTAGCGAAAGTGCGTGGTACCGAAACGACCGGTATTCGTATAAAAAGTTCGCGTTTTGAAGTCTTGAGGTTAAGCGTCAAGTAGGGTTGGTAGGTACCGGTTGGTAAATCACGAACTAATTTTTTTTTAGTCATGGTAACATATTTCTTAAAGTGATTCTACACGTGGGCGAATTGGCAAACGCATGATCGATGATTTTATGCGTGGGCTAATTGGCGTGGGCGAAATGGTCCGTGGGCGAAATGACTGGTTACCGTGTTACGAAATGTAGTTTTATTACGATCTCTCGAAACAGGTTGTAGAAAGTTTGTTTGCTCTCCAGTATAATCACCCATGGGAATCAAGATGTTCATTCATTTGCTCTCAGTGAATTAATCAGCACTGCAAAGGGCCTACTCCCATTATTTTAAAAACATATTTATTTGATTCCCAGTTCAAGGTTTTGGTTGGAAATAAATTCCCATTCCATTCCCATGACTGGGAAAATGTATTTAATTCCCAATTGTGGGTGTGTATTGGGAAATAATTGTTGTCCATGAAATTGATCCCAGTAATTTACTGAATCTGGATTTATTATTATTATTTTCTTTTCTCAATATTGGGAATTTCTCCAGTATTTTTGAAATAGGGATAGGCCATTTGACTACCATTCCCTAAATGCTTCATGAATTTTCTTTCTTAGGGCAAACGTCGAGCTGTCCATGCACCGAAATCATTAAAAACAATGGATATCAGGTGATAATGAGGCGGCATTCTTTGATGTAATTAAGTTCAGTGCATAGAAAGTTCGACTTTTGCCCTAGGCCTTATTCAAATTTGTTTTTCCTAATTAGGAAATACAAATTTGAATAAGAAAGAAAATTCATGAAGCATTTTGGGAATGGTAGTCAAACGAYGCCATCATGCAAATGGACTATTGAAAATGTTTTCCCATGATGACTGAGCTACAGCGGTAAATCTAATTTGGCTGGTCATAATGAGCAGTAACTTAAACACAGGACCCGTTATAGCAGAGAAATTCGATCTAGACTGACTTACTGTATGGAATCAGTCTCTCTATTAATCAATTTATAATGAATGATTTTCCTAAATTTGAATTTTCTTTTTTCATTTCAGTTGAGGAACAACATATGGAGATGATTATGATGGACTTACTTTGCTCCCTCAGTGTTGTTGCTAACCATATTTACTGGTATGTTAATGTATTACTCTTGCACATGAAAGTAGCATTCATTCTTGAGCAAAACATTGCTGCTGTGGAAGGTGTCATGAGTGAGTGCTGCTGGTCTTTAAAATTGAAGTATTTTTTATGTAAATGTTTGAATGATTTTCTTTCGATCTTTTGATTGTTTACAAATTACTACTGACAGTTTAAGGATGTATATGGAAACATAACAACTGAAAATAGCTCTTCCATGCTTTATTTATGTAGATATCAAATCAACTTGAACAGGAAAGTCCTTATCTTTTTGACATTGAGCTTAATAGTTTGCTTCAACATTTTCAAATTTTAAAAGACTTTAGTGAAGAAATATTCTCATGCAAAGTACATATGCTTAGCTTGTGTTTATCAATATAAAGATTGTTTGATTGGTTGTGAATACTTAGACAGTAAGAAAACCATGGGTTGTAGCAGTGAATGGAACATACATAGGGGTGTAAGGCTAAAGTGTAAGAATAGAATGAAGTCTGAATGCAAGTGGTTCGTGTGGAGCAGTTAATAGAATATACAAGGGGGGGGGGATACGGTACAATCCTGGATACAAGCCCCAGGGTTATACTCATTTGTAACAGATATCCCTGGAGGGGGGGGGAGGATATGGTACAATCCTAAACACAAGCCCCAGGGTTATACTCATTTGTAACAGATATCCCTGGAGGGGAGGGGGGGGATATGGTACAATCGTGGACACAAGCCCCAGGGTTATACTCATTTGTAACAGATATCCCTGGGGGGTGGGGGATACGGTACAATCCTGAACACAAGCCCCAAATGCTTACGTATTTAATCTGTGCTAATAATGCTAATTAACGTTAATTATTCTCTCCTTTAGATGCATGGTAACCTCCATTTTGTTTTACAGATCCGAAGGCCTCTTAGGAGCTTGAAAGAACTGACACTGATTACTATGTGACACTACTGTAACTGCGGTCACTTAGACCAGTTAGACACCGTGAACCTAACAAAATGTGACATGAAAACAATGCATTCCAACTATGAGTGCTGGAGCAGGAGCAAGAACCTATAATTCCTCTCAGTATGGTGTTTCAGCACAAATCAGGCAAGTAAATATTATAGTTGTTCAGATATAACCCGAGTTTTAGGCCCATGCAAGGGAAGGGGGCAGGGGAGGAGATCAGAGGGAAGAAAGTGGACCTTGTGTTGAGTTTCCATATTCTGGACGCACTTCTGATTGGACAAAGATTTACCAGAAGTATAATTACAAATCTACCACTTCATTACTATACGAAATTATCTGAGATATATACCGGGGGGGGGGGGGGGGGGG